GTAACAGCAAATGTACAACGTTTCGACAAAATGATGATGATGACAAAACCTTGTCGAAACGTTGTACATTTGCTGTTACGTTAAACTTATATTAAAGTTTTTCTTCATTACCCATTCAAGCCATCTCCAGCCATTATTAGTCTCAAAGTGGGTTCCTCATCATCGAATTTGAAAACACCACTGAAAACTCTCTGCCCTTTCAGCTGTGGAGATATTATAACAGCTTTTATTAATCTTGCTTTTTTCAAATAATAGCAGTTCAATAGCTGGTGGATACTGCTAATTGGCTGTTCTACCTTTGATCAAAAGTTATAAATTAAAGATCGCTTGAACCTTAGGGGCCTTTGATCTGGTTATTTAACCAATATTTCACATAAAGATGAAAATATCAAATAATGCACTTTTAGTGTAATATAACGAAGAACATTTCCTGTTGAATTGTTGAATATGTTTTTGAGTAGATAAATATCTAACAGTAGTTTACGATTTATGTAGTTCTGGTTTTCATGACTGTAAATGACAATATACTTGTGGTCACAAATCTTCTAATTATGTTTTTTTTAGTGTTACTTGCTCCACTGCAAGAACACTAAAAAAAAAACCCACATATTTACAAGATTGAGGAGCAGCAAGAGAATTGACTCGTAATCACTATAAGCCTGTTTTATAGTTTAGCTTTAGACTTATAAATTTTTTGAAAGTGTTAATGTATGAAGGAAATCCCGTCACAAATTAACATGATATATCCAAGTCTATGGGAATAATTTTGATAAGATTCACATTGACATGGTTGTGTGTGAAGTTTTTTCATTTCATTTTTGCTCAGTTACAACTTCTTGGTAAACTTCGTGTAGAATGTGCTGCCTACCTGCAGTCAAAAGGATTGAATATATGGAATCCAAAAGATTTCAACTTTTTATGGGTTGTGGACTTCCCCCTTTTTTTACCTAGTGATGAAGGTGAGACATCAGTTTATATTTTGAAATAGTTATTTGTTCTGTTAGCATGCCATATGTTGAAGAACTAAATATTGAGAGATAATTCTCGCATTTTATACTTAAATAACTTGAATGCTACGTTCTTATGGAATACTACAGCAGTAGAAATCTCATATTATTTTTAGTGCATCATTAGGTATATATATTCTTACAATGAGCCTTTAACATTATTTTGAATATTCACTGTAAAACTCTTTTCAATGCTATAAGTGTAGCTACCAGTTTGGCTGCAAATTTTGATTTCATTCCTTTAAGTCGCACGCTCAATCCTTTTTTGGCTGCCGTTTTTTTTTCACACCTAACATTTTTTTGATTACATATCATAACTTTTTGTCAATGCACACCAACAAACCACAGCAGGTGAGAAAGTAACACTCGATAGTAACCAACATTAGCCTTAGGATTGCAACCGTATTATCTGTAACAGACCTATACTTTAAAGAACCAACCAGATTCTTTGAAATATATGGTGGTAATTAGTAACCAACATTAGCCTTAGGATTGCAACCGTATTATCTGTAACAGACCTATACTTTAAAGAACCAACCAGATTCTTTGAAATATATGGTGGTAATTAGTAACCAACATTAGCCTTAGGATTGCAACCGTATTATCTGTAATAGACCTATACTTTAAAGAACCAACCAGATTCTTTGAAATATATGGTGGTAATTTTCCTCTCTAAAACAATGTTAATAACTTCCTTTATAGTAATGTCATGGAAAGTAGATTAACAGTTTCTTGTAATCACTTGCATGCATTTGGTACAGCTGTATCAAACATCATTATTTACACTAATTGCTTAAGCTAATATCTCGTGATGCTAAATGCTCTTTAATTAGAAGAATTTCATAAAATTTAGCAAATTTGTGCTTAAAAGTTGCCAATGAATAATAACTGTCCACTCATATGATTCTTATGAAAACTTGAGCTAGAAACTGCTAATCTAGTTTGCTTGGCCTAACCAATACTTATGTATTTGCACATGCTTTCACCTTGTAGGTTTGCTGCTCTAAATCAACCTTCTTTAACCCAAATGACAAAAAAATTAAAAATAATCCACCTTTACTTTTAGGTGAAGTTTTTGTAAAATTTCAGACCGATAACTCACTTGACTTTTTGTGTAAGCATGCACAAATATTTTTGGCAAAATTGAGTTGTTTTTATTGACTAGCTTTGCACATGTGGCTAATATTTAGACCAAATTTGACACCTAATTGTAGGTTGTAAAGATCT